TTATTGCACTCCTTGTAGGGCATATTTTTAATGCTATTGTGAATCGAATTGCTAAAGTGGAGGATGATTATTGTGAGATGATGGAACTTAAAAACCAACCTGAGGCAGCTGATGTCATGAAATCACAGGTATGTGATCTTTCCATTTTCTTTCTAATAACTGAAGGCTTCACATTTGTACTGTTCAAGCTGGACTAACCAAATATTAATACTGCCGTTTCTGGCCACTGTTTCTCATGAGATCAGAACGCCATTGAATGGTGTTCTTGGTAAGTAGCTGAAAACTCTTTCTTAAACTTGAATTGCTAAGGTCACGTGCGTGCACACAGACAACCCTACACAATTGAAAGCTTCTTTTCAGAGTACTAGCCTCACTCTAAAATTGAACTTTCAGGAATGTTGCATATGCTTATGGACACAGATCTAGATGTAAAGAAAAAAGAATATGTTAGAACAGCACAAGGTAGTGGGAAAGCTCTTTTGTCACTTATAAATGAGGTTTTAGACCAGGCAAAGATTGAATCTAGTAAGCTTGAGCTTAAGGCAGTGCTATTTGACATACGAGCAGTTTTGGATGATGTTTTGTCACTATTCTCTGAGAAATCACAAGAAAAAGGAGTAGAGGTAATTTTTTCTTGCTCTGGTTGAACTTTCTTTATGTTGATAATTATAGCTGGCTCTTACTGATTTATTTCTTGGGGAGTACAGTTGGCAGTGTATATCTCAGATAAGGTTCCTGAGCAGCTAGTTGGTGATCCAAGAAGGTTTCAGCAAACAATTACAGATTTTATAGGCAACTCAATTAAGGTTAGTCTACACTATACGCTGTACCAATCAAATGTCATAAAGAGGAAAATATGCATAATCAGATTTTATCTAACTTTCCATTTTTGCATTTTTTTGTTTACAAATTGTGTTCTATTCCTCCTGGAAAAAATGCGTTGAATCAAATTTTTTTAGAGATCCACCCTTATCATCTGTATTGTTAGTGTCCTGATCAATTAATATAATTTCATAAACATTTTCAATAATGAACTTAGTTTTTTGTTGTTCCAGCTAATTATAGTTATCAAAAGTGCTAATGTAAGAAATGGTTATTTATAGCAAGCATTACAGAATCTGATTTTGTAATTCTTTGGCAGTTTATGGATAAAGGGCACATATTTGTCACTGTCCATCTTATTGAGGAAGTTGTCAATTCAGTTGAAGTTGCAACATCAAAGAATACCTTTAGTGGATTTCCTATTGCTGATAGATGTTAAAGTTGGAAAGGATTCAGTTCTATCAGTCAAAAGGGACCTCTAGGTTCTTGTGGTGCTTGTGGCTTTTGAGTGGTATAATTTTTTCAAGAGAAATTTGGATGATTTTTCCACCCTGGATTGTATGTGTTAGAGTAGGGATCGTTCTTAAGATTAATTCAATTAGTACCAGTTCCTATATAATTAGCCTCCTCCGCATAGTCACCATCACAACCTGTTTGAAGAGAATTATTAGTAGAAGAAAGGGAATTAACAGAACGAAATTTTTTCAATAATAAATTTAAACTCTTTGTTAAATCCTGTAGTTCATGTGAGACATCTGATATAGAAACTTCTTTAATCATTGCCCTCCTTCCTCAAATTGCTTTCTACCTTGAATTTGCTGCTAGCATTTTATAAATCTCTTCCCTTTTTTCAGCCGTCATATTACTTGGATCACCTCGAGTTGCATTATCTACTTTTTGATTGGCATTTAGCATTCAGCCTATCTTAAAAAAAAATTCATCAAGAGTTTGTGTGGAAATTAGTGATGGAGACATTGGCTTATGAGGAGATTATAACATTCCCAGGCCTCATGGAACAATTCACTATTTTGCTGTGTGAAGAAGTGAATTTTATCCCTTGATTCTGAAATCTTCTTAGGAGAACAATATTTTAATTTAAATTGCTCATACATCTCCGTCCAAGAGCCTATGGAAGCTTCTGGTGGTAATTGTAAAAGCCATTGATGAGTTTCTCCTTTTAAACAGTAAGGAAAGCAACACAGCTTTAAATCGTCATCTGATAGATTATTTAGCGGTAGTGTATCAATTACCACATAAAATTCTTGTATAAAATCCAAGGCATCTTCAGTTCGGTGCTCATTGAAATTAGGTAGCGCATTTAAGTGAATATTTTTAAATTCATAATTACGTGCTCTGGTACTCAGTTGGATGCACAACGGATAAAATATGATAAATAGACGTTGAATATCTCTAAATGTAATGGATGGCTCTGGAATAGTTTTGTCACCGATCTTTCTTCTTCTTTGAGATCTAATTTTCCTGCAAAACCATTCAATTTCTAGATTAATAGGAATCAAATTTAAGTCGCCAAAGCTTTTCAATTGCATAAAAAATAATTTAAAAATAAAAAAATGAAAGGAAAAAAATTAAAATTTAAAAGTAAAATGAACTAAAAATTAAATAGTTAGTAAATTTGTGACTTCCTCACCAACGAAACCAAAAACTTGATCGCTCTTGCAATTGTACGAGATTATCGTAATAAATTACCCAAAGTATTTTAAGTGTCGAACCTACAAGAAAGTTACACTTTTACTAATTTAAATAATTAATAGTTCAAGAAAAATAGATAAAATGAATAATTTTGATGAAAATATAAATAATAAAAATAAATCAAGAAAATAATGATGATGAAAACACAACCATTTGAAGTGTTGGGGTTTAGGATTCACCTTATAGGTTGTTAATTTTTACCTTTTGAGTTGACTCTTTAATCAGTTATAGTGACAATTTTTTCTAAAGTGTCCTAATATTTTTTTAAATTATTACTCCCTTTTTAATTAGCATTGAATTCATTCCCACAATACCCAAATAACTAATTAAACTGTAAAGCTATAATTTAAGTTACCATAAATTTCTAGAACTATTCCTAGCCTGGCTATTTATGTTTATTTTTCTAGATCTAGGTTCTCTCTTCACCTCCTAGTCCATCAAGATTACCCATAGATTTAATTAAATGGTGGTTAATTATTAAATCAACATGAAGAGCAAGAGAAATAAATATAATTGAAAAAATATTCATAAATATAAATGCAAAGAGTCAAAACAAAGAAAGTAGAAAACTAGCTCCCAATTGAGCTACATCTCTACGCCAACTGATAATTTAGAAACCATTAATAAAATTAAATAACACCATTTTAAAATCTCCAATCATGAAAAATGATCACAGAGAAAGTTAAGGAGTAGAAAAGAATTATGATTCATAGAACTCTTCAATGCTCTCGCTTTTAGCCTTCAGAATGCTTGTACGAGTTCCAAATATTTCAGAGAAAATTCTTGAGGTACTCGGATAAGTGATTAGATGACTTCCGCCTTAATGGAAGGAGTATTTATAATTAAATTGAAAGCTCATCCTTTTCTTCCTAATCGATGCGGGACTCTAATATAAGTGTATATATATTATCACAACACCTAATCTTAGGCGCTGCAATTCTGGGTGAATTTGTAAAGCTATATATATTAGACATATCATGTGATGCAGCTGCTCCTTCCATCGATATATATATATATATATATAAAATCTTTTCTCTTTCTTTTGTTTATTGCATTTTTCTCTTTTGTTTCATTTATTATTTTCCTGCAAAATATAAAAAAGAAAGATATGAGTAGATTTTATATCAAAATTTCTTTTTATCTTATAATTAAGTAATGAGGGAAAAATATATAAATATTAATTAAATAGATATGAAATCTTAATAAATATAATTAAATTTAAACCAAATTTTATACCTATTTAATTATAAAATTTGCACTTATCACAATACTACAAAATCTTAGGCATCAATAATTCACAAAATTACAAGTTTTATGACCTTAGGACAAAAAAAATCCTTGGGGTCTTTTAGGAATTAGTGAACAAATTTTGGACCTTAGTGGAATTTTGAAAGGGATCTAGGGGTAAATTGATAATTTTGGAAGAGATTTAGGGTCAAAATGTAATTCTAAAAGTTAAGGTATCAAAATATAATTTTCAAAAATTTATTAGGGTCATGGAATAAATTTCAAAAATTATGAGCCAATAAGGTGATTTTAATTTGGGGCCGAAACTTAATTTACAGTTTTTTTGTTATGCTGGTTTGGGTTGGGCTAATAACCAGTTTCATTAACCCTCCGTTTCGATGGGAAGAAAAGTTGAAAAGAAAAAACAAATGAGAAGAAAGAAAATGAAGAGAAGAGAAAATTGGAAAGAAAATATTATCACTCCTCCTGTTTGGATGAACAGGAGAAAATAGAGACAAAAGAAAATAAACAGATATCATAATGACTATAATGCCCTTATATCAAAATATATCATGTTTCATGTAATTATATTTGTAAAAATAAATTGAAAGCAGAAATTATATTAAAATTAACATAATCAAATTAATTTAATATCAAATTATTTGTTAAAATATATTTTTATATTATATTTTAAAATTAAATTAATGTAATTCTAGACATTTGCTCTAGCCAATGGCTAAATTATTTAATTAAATAATTAAATTAATGTAATTCATAACCATAAAAGTTAAAAATTATAAGCCAAATTGTTTAATTAAAATTAAATTAATGTAATTAAGCAGTCTCTTGAGAGTTAAAGCGCGAAATAAATAAGAGAGAGAGGGGGTAGCCGATGGAAAAAAATTTTACTCCCAAAATCTCTCCACGTTTAGAGAGAAAAGTTGGAAGGAAAAGACAATAGGTCCCATACCCTATTCTCCTTCAACTTGTTTTTTACTCTCATTTTTTCTTCCTTATCCAAATAGAAAAAAATCTGTTTTCTCTTCTATTTTCTCTCCATGTTTTCTTTCCTTCCATATTTTTTTCCAACCAAACAATGCATAAGTGAAACAGGCCCACCAAAACTTCCCTTTGCTCCTCCTTTCTTTTTCGTTTAGCGGGCCAGGCCCAAACAAAAAAATTGGCCCGAGAAGACGGATCCCTAGGAAACATTGAAGAACAACTTCGGCACTCTTCTCATCTCCTCTCGCTCAGACCTGTCTAAGTTCAAGTCTCACTGTTATCTCGTCTGAGTCGTCCTCGCCGCCTTTCGCTCTCGAGTCTCGCCTTCGTCTTTTTACTATCTGCTCTGTTTGAAGTCCGGATCTGGCTATCTGCTTTTGCTCTCAGTCTCTCGATTCTTCCTCCCTCTTCTGCTCTGTTCTGCTCTCAGCCTCTCGCTCTCGATTCTTCTAATAGTCAGCTCGATAGCCTTGACTCCGGACCTTTCTCCCTTCCTCGCACTCAGGTTCAAGTATGACTTACTCTCACCGAATAGTGATCCTTATAAGTTGCTCTAGCTTCCTTCTGATTCTGATTTCTGAATCATGTTTTAATTGTATTTTTTTCTTCAATTACTGAACCCTAGATAGTCATAGAAGAAGAAGCTGGCCTCTTGTGAATTTAGAATTTGAGTATACTTTGGACTCAAAGACTCAAAAGACTCAAGTGGTGTTGAACAATTTAAATTGTGGTGGCTGTGTTTGGAATTTTGAAAGTTTGTTAATTGCTGATTTGATATAGAGAATGAACTAAAATTTCGTTAATTAAATTCGGTGTTATATTTATCTATAAGTTCTTTAATTGTTAATTTGCTATGCAGTATGGATTAAGTCATTTAAGTGTACATGTTCATGTTATATAAATTTTAAACAGTTTTAGGAAAAAAAATATTTTGGTGTATATTTGCGGGTTCGCTTGTGGGCTGGCCAGCCCTCTGAAAAATGAGCTTAGTTGGGTTGAGCCCCCAGTACTAATCTGTCGCTCCTCCTCTTCTCTGTTTTACAGAATAGACAAGGTAGGGAAGATGGAGTTTGATAATGATAGTATCTTGGGGTTTGATAGTGATGAAAGCTGGAAGGACGATGGAAAAAATATTCCCGACATGGTACGTCCAATGGATTACTATTGTTGATATTTTTTTTTTTTTGACTGAAAATGATATTTTTATTTGAAAAAATTATTTTGATGTTGCTTATAATTTAAATTAGATTGGAGTCAAGTCCCAATAAGCATAATTAAAAATGTTGCACATAATTTAAGTATATTATAATTATAATAGATATTTTCTTAAAAACATTAAAAATGTTAATATTGTGTATATAAGGGCATTTTTGTAGGATTGGATTTCAAAAATGCTTAAACTGAAATGTAAAATGGAGAACGATTAAATATTTTTTATTTTTATTTTAAATTTATATAAAACTTGTAAAAGGAGTTTAATAATTTTGCTCATCAATTTAAACTGATCAGATTTAATATGGATGACCTAAATTTAATATTAAATTTTTTTAATAAGGTGAATGTTCTGTTTAAAACACATCTGAATAATCAATTTAAATTTTTAAAGTTAAATTTTGGCTATCTATATTAAATTTGGATTGTTAGATTGATGAGCATATTTATTAAATTATTTTTATATATTTTATTTTAATAAATATAAAAAATAATAAATAAAAAATGGTTTAAATTTTATAAGAGGTGTGAGGAGGGTAGGAAGAGGCAAGGGAAGTCTCTCTAAAATTAGGTTTAGGGCTTATGTGTGTTGAGCTTTACAAAACTATAATTTGCATAAACTAAATTTTGCAAATTCGCAAATTAAAATGAGGATTTTTTTAAAAAAAAATTAGTTTGACAAATTAAAACTTGTTTATTAATTTTTTTTTTTGAAAAATTAAAATTATTTAAATGATATAATATAAAAGTATCTTTAGGATTTATATTAGCCGAAAAGACATGAGTTTTATAATAAAAAATATATGTTGTGATATATCTAAGAAAAATATATCAAATAAAATAAAATTTTAAAAATAAAAAGAGTGAACATATTCTAAAATGATTTTGATTTTGATGATATTATATGAACAATGGTAATAATCATAATAATATAATTGATATTTTATTTATAATTTTTTTTCAATGTTTAGATTCTTTCTGGGTCTGAGAGTATCATTTGTATGAAGAACTTCTTCATATGATTCTTTTAGGGGTTTACCTTAATTCCTTTTAGAATAAAGTCATTTTTGTCCTCAACTTTACTCTAAAAGTCACTAGAAATTCTAAACTCATAATATCCCTCAATGTTAAAATTTTTTTTTATCACCCTGACATTAAAAAAACTTAACATTTGTTAGTCATCAACAGGTTTTACTATTTATTTTAATATTTTTTATTTAATTATGGGTCATTTTTATCTATTCACTGTTATTTAAAGGGTTAGTGGGTGCTCTTAGCTCAAACATGTTATAATAAAAAATATTAAAAAAAGTAATGTGAGGTTCACTAATAGTCTCGCAGGGTGATAGGAGAGAGAATCTTTAAAGTCAAGAGTCATAAGCTTCTTTTTATATGATCTATTTCAAACTTTATATTGGATATTTTTCTTTCCTTATAGTCCTATTTCTAAGAGGTTCATCTTGAGTGCTCACTTTCTTAATATGAAATCTAGATCCTTTAGAATTTAATTTGGACAATCTAAATTTAAAGGATTAATTTCATACTTTTTAAAATATAAATTTATTAAAATTATAAAATTTTTAAATAAATTTGTTCATCACCAATCTAGTTTATATTTAACTTAGAAGATTCAATTTAATATTAAAAATTTTATATATTAACTATTTAGATGTACTTTGTACAGTTCATATTTAATGTTAAATATTTTTATAGTTTTTAGAAATATTTTAAATTAAATGTGGACTTTACAAATTATATTTGAATAGTTAATATATAAAAATTATAAAAAATTTTAATATTAAACTGAACTTTTCAAATTAATACGAGGCCTGATTGTTAATGAAAAGATTTATTAACTTCTTTTAATAATTTTTATAATTTGTTGTTTAATAAATATAAAATAAAAATATAAAATTAATTAATATGTTAAATCCGTATCAGATGTCATCACTCTATGAGTAGTTGAGTACCATGGTTGTGATCACGAGCACCAAAGATGAAACCATTTCTCAGATACTCCATCTATTTTTTTAAATTATTTATTGACATTTCCCTATTTTGCTCTGATGAATTCGTTGTGTATTAATGACTTACAATTATTATAAGACATCATTCAACTCCATAAATAAATGTGTTTTTGAAAAATAATTTACATTTTTAACATGTTTATTGTATTTAACTAATTTTAAATTAACAAACAAATAAGAGAAATAATATATTATTTATAATAATATTTTTTTCTAAAAGGGAAAATGAATGCTTTGCATCTCAGAAATAATAGACGCTAGTCGAAAAAGCTTGTTTTATTCAATAGAAATAGGATCTAGAATAAAAAATAGGATCTGGTCGAGATACAAGATGCTGAAAAAAACAAAATATTCAATAGAAAATCTCCTAAATATTATAATCTAAAAGCAATACGATACTAATAAACCTGATGCTAAACACAATAAATAATAAATATTACATATGACTTGCGTATTTTTACATCTATACAATCCTTGGTATAAATTCATATTTAAAATATGTTAATTCTTAAAATAAATCCATATTTAATTAAAAAGGTATAAATTCATATTTAAAATATGCTGAACACAATACTAATTCATTGAATTGAATCGATGATACATGCAGGTTGATCTTTTTTGTATGAAAATAATCTCTTGTATTAACTAGCCATTAACTCATCTAATCATATCTCTTTGACAAGGAGTAAATCACTCTTAATTAATTACAATAAATTTGTATTTGACCATTCTCATAGTTGTCTTTGTGCAATATGTTAAATCTGATATCTCAATTCATATATAATTGAATATTAGAATAAAGTAATACGTATATACCTGAAGGATCCATAAGCGCTTGAGAAAGTTCGATTACCTCGAGTGTAGACAGACGCACAACCCACTGGTTCCCAGAGTCTTTAAAGAGTGCAGAGATAATGGAGCAGAAGAATGAGTCGTGTGTGTGGTGGTTATCGATTGATTGACTTATAAAAATCAGATCGGTAACCACCTTATTATATAATTAAAATAATTATATTTCATTATTTTTGAATCAGTCAGGTAAGAGATAAGGAATAACTAACGGCTACTGGGTTGTGGGTTGAGCCTCTACCCATTGAGCTCACTTGTATGGTTCACTTATCACGGCCACACAAGATTATAAAGACCAATCTGTTTGGGCTTATTAATTAATGTTAATTCATAAATAATATTCCAACACAATATAGTAAAATAATATGTTCAACACAGGTTTAGGTAGGAGGATCACCTCCATACCAAGTATGCAACAAGTTGGGTAAAGGAGGGTTCGGTCATGTTTTTGTTGGCGTCCCTGTGACTGGTGGCAAGGAAGAAACGTTGGGTCCTGGTGCCATCGAGGTTGGGTTGTACGGCTACTCATTTTATTTATTTAGAGATATATGAAATTGTCGAGACAGCTCTTGTTTAAACATAATTAATTTCAACTTTCATTATTCAGGTGGCTCTAAAATTTGAGCATAAAAAGAGTGAAGGTTGTCGGATTGAAGCTCGTGAACCTTATGAGTGGCAAGTGTATAAGTAAGTTCTCCTTTGTTGTTAGAATTATTCTTCCCAGTGATTAGTGGTCCAAATTTGATTTTACAAGTTATCTTATTGGGTTGACTTTTTTTAAGGTTTGTGTGACATGAACGTGTACAATTTGAATTTGAATTTGATATATATATATATATATATATTTTTTTTTGGTTAAAAGCATCCTTGGTGGTTGTCATGGAATTCCTCAAGTCCATCATAGAGGGGGAGTGGGAGATTATTTTGTAATGGTATGATCTACAAAGCAATTATGACTCCTATCTTAATTGCAAATAGGCCATAATTGGCCATTTAACTATTCTATATGTATATCTAGGTCATGGACAAGCTTGGACCTAACTTGAAGGATTTTTTGAATTCCTCAACTCATGGGTAAGCATATTTGAAATGCTTCAAGTCGTATCAAATTTTTTAAAGAAACTAGAATGTAGTTCAGTACATCCTAAGTTATTAAATCTCAAGAGAGAAAACTTAAGCAATCAAAGATAGTTCATAAATCATTTTCACAAGTTAAAAACAATGTTGGTTTGATAAAAATCAAGAAGAGAAATATTTTTGGTTTTCTAAATTTCAAGTGAAAATGAATGGAAGTAAAATTGACTCAAACAAGCAAATGGGTAAATTCTCCAAGTTTTGAATTTATTCCACCATCATAGACTCCTAAAGTATGGTCACAAATGTAAAGAAAAGTGTGCAAAATATGTGATTTATCAATATTCATACTCTTTCTTTCCTTCCCTTTTAATTTTTGGCTTTCATGTTGTCATGCAACTTTGTTTCTAAGGCTTTTATACTTAACTAGATCATGTCGGTAGTATGTGTAGTAGTGATTTTGCAGAAGTTGTCCTTTATTTATGGCTTATAAATAGTGTGATTTCTTATAATTATTTGTTTAGTTGACTTTTTTATTTCTTTCCTCTTTCATAGGATATCTGCGGAAATGATTGCAAGTATAGGTGTTCAGTCATTATCAACCTTGGAGGAAATTCACTCTAGAGGGTAATGCTTGAAATAGTGCTAAAAACTACTTTGATAGTTTATTCATTAAGAGAAATAGCCACTAAATAGGCATGGTTTATTCCCTTTGATAGCTTTTTACATCTCTTTAATGAGTGATGGAGGCGGATCATACACCCATCAAAATAATACTAGTTCTAACCTTAATATAGCATAGGGTCAATCTTAGATCATCTTTCTAGGAAGTGTTTCAATTCAAAAGTGAGGTTATTAAGTGAACAAATTACCTAAATGATAGGAGTTTGAACTACATTAAGCTATCTAGAAAACTAATGCAAACTAAACCAAATGGAATGGATGAATTACCTTATGTCAATTATGGAGATTCCTAGGGAGTCAATGTTAGAGATCTCATTACCCACTAAAGTGATTAACAAATGTTCCTTTCCTCACTAAATTAGGTTCCATCTCGATTCAATTAAACCTAGCTGGATTAGCTAGATTCTCGAGATTAAGGTGAATTAAATTGCGGCCAACTACCTAGATTAGGTTTCCTAGTGTGCATTCCCACAACATAGCCATGGCTAAGCATGATGGAAGCATGGAATCATCACAAGATTATGCAATAAACCATATCAAATCAATGAACAAACCCACAAGATTATGTAAAGACTAATATAAAACAAACCATATCACATTAACTCAAGCTTATGTAGCAACATGATATGGATGAAATTCATGCTTGAACAAGACAAATGAGAAGAGTCTACAAACATTTCTTTATTACAAAAGATGATGATCTCAAACTAGAGTTCATGAACCAATCAAATTGTAACCTAAAACTAGCATTGTAATTGAAGTAAAATGAAGTGAATTTAGGATTAGAATATCCTTAGCCAAGTGAAATCCTTTAAATGTTAGGGTGAACATTAAAATGAAGATTTTTTAATAATTAAATAATGCACCTAAGTAAACCTTGGCTAAACTTATGATTGAATTAAGTTACCTATAGTAGCATGTGAACACTTGACTATACTATGAGATTAAACATGACATTACAAATTTAGCATTGAACATTAATTGACTTGGCATTGTATATCTTTAAGAGAGACTTCTCTTTCAATCCATAACCTCTTTTAACATTTTCTTGCATACATTTCAAACTTGTCATGCTCTATGCTTGGATTTGGTATACTTTTTTAACGTCTACCAAAAATCCGGCAGAGTTACCCCTTAGGGAAATCATAATTCCAAGCATTCAAAGGACACTTTTCATTGACAGCCCATACTCTAATGACACTCAAACAATAGACATACATTCTTTAACAAAGACAATGTATGGGAATATCTTAAACCTGTCCATGTACCCTCGGCCAAGTACATGCCCCTTCGGCTTCTTAGAACTCACAAAGGATTCATGCATTAACTTGCATGAATTACATTATTTAAATAAGTTTCTAACCTCAACTTCAACTTATTTCCTATTCTAACATCAACTTTATTTGGAATTTATTCTAATATCAACTTTAACCTGTTATGGTTTTGTTCATCTTGTTTATTTAGTTATTTACATGGAGATATAAAACCAGAGAACCTTTTGCTTGGGAAGCCAAATTCTCCAGATGAGAAGAAATTATTTATTGTTGACTTTGGATTAGGTTAGTGGATGGAATATTTCAAATTGTGTCGTTTCTTTCTAACATGTGCCACTTACTGCATCATTTTCCTAATACAAGCATATGCATCGCAGCAATCAAGTGGAGAGACTCCAACGGGAAGCATGTTGAATATGAGCAATTCCCTAATATGTTTAGGTAGTCAATTTTAGAACCGTTATTTTCTTTTCCTTTTGTGTTGTCCTCTTTCCTCTTCAAAATATCTCATCATTCTATTTATGGTGTCCTTTTTTTATTTATTTGATAGAAGTTAAACTTTTTTCTTTGGATTGTTTGAGAGGGACTATGGGATATGCTAGTGTTCACGCACACCTGGGAAGAACTCCTAGCAGAAGGGATGATCTTGAATCTCTTGCATATACACTCATATTTCTTTATCAAGGTCAATTACCATGGCAAGAATTTCAAGTATGGCATTAATTCTATGTTCTGACCTAGTGATTCAATGTTGGTTGAATTTCTTTCCTTGCTATATATTTTAATATTATTTGACCTTTTCTCTTAGGATATTGATATTGACAAATCCTTCATTGTTTGTCAAGAAAAGCTGAAAACACCTCCCCTTCTAGCATCCTCTCTCGCTCCTGTCTATAAATTTCTTTGGAGTGTTGTGAACTTGAAATTTGATGAAGAACCTAATTATTCCAAGCTAAGGTCGTTGTTTGATGAGATAATGGGACCTATTCCTGCATTAGGACCAATTAACACTGAAGGTGCACGAAAGGTAGTTAGTTAATTAATTAATTAGTAGATATTTAATGTTTCAATGCATATGTTTAGTTTTTGTTTTAATACAAAACGTTGTCAGGTTGGACAAAAACAAAGTAGATTGAATTTTGGGGGACATGATACGCGACCAGTGAAGATAAAGACAACTCGGTCAGGTCTTCCTGCTACACAATGGATTTCAATTTTTAATGCAGGAAAACCAACGAAACAGAGGTAGAGTTGTGTTAACATTTTTTCTTTTTTTCCTTTTTTAACTGGAGAATAAAGTATTTTCCTTGTTAGCTTTTGGTACCACAACCTGTATTTTGTCAAAAATATCATCCAATTGATTTGGGACCTTGGCAATTATTATTCTTATATATTTACAGTTACGTAGACCATAGAATTATTTGTAAATCATCCCAAAATCTCTCTAATGACCTAATATTTTCTAATTTTTCTTAATAAATTGTGGCCTTATACTAGGAACCTGAATAATAAGTGAAATAATAAGTTAATAATATTGATAGTGACATTTGCGTTGAGGATATTTTGTAGGTTTCATTATCCCGTGTCTAATGAGATGTTAGCACAACATGTGGAGAAAGCGATTATAGATGGCTTCCATATCAGCTGTGTAGCCTCCCATTCTAATCTTTGGGCACTTATTATGGATACTAGAATTGGTTTTACGAGTCAAGTTTACAAACTTTCACCTTTCTTCTTACCCGAGGTGAAATTATCATTGCGTATTTCTTGTAATTTATATTCTATGTGCTAAAATGTCCCTTATCTCACTCTTAGACACTCTTACAGCAATGGAGCAGGGAGCAATGGGAAAAGGGTTTTTGCATTACCTCTATTGCTGGAGCTGAGGATGGGAGCTCTATTGTAGTCATGTCAAAAGGTTTGCTTGCTTTGTTAAGTGACATCTTACAATGGGGCTCAATGTAGCAAGAAAATTTCTTTAGGTGTAGTAATTTTTTAATGATTTCTCCTTGACAAGGTGATGTAACACGAGAAGGGAAGGGAGGGACAGAGAAAGGAGGAGAGAGGTTAGGGAAGGTCGAAATTATTGAATTCAATATTAATCACAAGCTAAACATAAATGAAAACTTTAACTCTATTTATTGAGTTCTAAAAATAATAAAATAATTGATTAGGCTAATTGCACACCTATCAAAATAATATTAGTTTTAATCCTAACGTAGTAATAGGTCAACCTTAGGTCATTTATCTAGTGAGTCTCTCAATTCAATTATGAAGTTATCTTGTGAACAGATTAACCAAATGGCTGAAGAGGTTAGCTACCAACTAATGAGGTAAAATTCTAAAACCTAAAGTGTGAAAGTGATGAATATCCTTTTAATGAAGTGGAATCCTAGAGTTTAGATAGTGAAATTATCGTTATTTATATCATTGTTTATGGCTTTTGGGGGCGATTTCTCTTCTTAGCCGTGCCCTCTCATCTTCTTTGATGGTGATTTGAGTCTTCAATCCTTGTAGAATCATGAGGGATAGGACGAAATTGGAGATAGAAGAATGAGAGTGGTTTTATGTGATTTGGATGGGAAATGAAAAAGATGTGAGTGATTGATTGGATGAGAAATTGAAGAGCAAGTGAGAAAGAGAGAAAATGTTTTGAGTGTGGGAAAATGAGAGTGATCTAAATGAAAAGTGAATCGCACCAAATTGGTTAAGAGAAAGTGAGAGAAAAGTGATGGAAACTTGGAAAGTGGTTGTGGTTTTCAATTGCTATCTAACTTGGCCAAAACTACGAATTTGGAGGGAAATTTGTGACAATTCCAATGTTACGCTTGATCTAATGCAATGCATCATTTCAAGCCTAATTTGCATCTCTCAAGTCTGAATATGTATTTTAGAAGCCTTCTTTGCTTGTCTTGAATTATATCTTCAACCATCATATTAATCTACCTAAATCACAATTAAATTAAATAACCAAATAATTAGTGTGACATTTATTTAATTGAGCTAAGATAGAAAATATTTAATTGATTCAAAGTAATAAAATAAATAAGAAAAAATGAATATAAAAGCTTCACAAGACACAAGTGTTAACAGGTCCATACTTGAACCAAAATCAAGGGTTAAATGAAAACATTTAGAGAAACAACTTTAAAATAATGTCTTTTTTTTAAGACTCTCAACCTAAGATGAATCAATAAAAACTAATTTGATCAATTATCTTAGCCATTAAAAGATTTATGTCCTTTTTTAAAACTCTCAACCTAAGATGAATCAATAAAAATTAATTTGATCAATTATCTTAGCCATTAAAAGACATAAATCTCAAGTTCATTTAGGTGAAAGTGTATTTTATGATAAAATTACCTTTTAATGCATGCAATTTAACACTTAGGCAAAATTGCATTGAGAATGTTATATGAATGCACATGAACACTTAATAGGTATGTAAAATGATCCTAATAAGTTAATAAATTTATGTAAATAATATATCTTATCAATTTTCATACACAGCTTTTGCACTCTGAACAAAATAAAATGAAAATGAATCTCACAACTCATTTAAACAAGTGAAAACAAAAACAGGTTAAATTTTTAAAATTGCCAACTCAATAGTTAATGAATCTTCACCTATCCATTTATTAAATTAATTATAATAGGGAGAATTTTGTACTTCATAAAGCATGCCTTTACAAGGGATAAAGTGTTAGAACGCTCAACTCTCAAGTGTGTTGGGTATATATTTCACTCTAGTTCACTTAGCAATCATCACCATAGGCTTGTAACTTTCTACATTTTCACCACTAAATAGTACTTGCATTATGATTCAAGAGGTATTTATTTAGGTTGTAGTGTAGCTTAAGAAAGGATAAACTAGAAATACATGTGAGAAAGCAATAGGCATAAAAATAATGCCTTAGTAAAAAATAACCTCCCAATATACAAGACATAAAGTAGTTCAAATATGTGAAAATTTTTACAATAAAGTCATAAGATCTTGAGGAAATAAAGGGTGTCATATAGCTAAGAAACTTTTATTGATTTTTTTCTTTATATTCTTTTCTATTCTTTCTTTTGCTTTTCTCTTCTCATATATATATATATATATTTTTGCAACTTTGTTTCTTTTTTTTTCTCAATATATATATATATATATTATTTTGCTTTTGCTTTCTTTTGTTTTTTCTCTTCTTTTCTTTTCTTTAGAGTTATTCTAACTTTCTCTTGTTTCACCCTTGTTCCTTGACAATGAATAGAATGACAAATAATAGAAATTAACATTCTTGGGTCTAAAACATGGCAAGCATATTGAGAAATAAGATAGAGCAACATGCATTTCTTGAAAATAACGGTATGAGCATTATTAAAATAAATTAATCAAAAGGCTTAAAGGGGTAAACAAAGGATAAAGTGTAATACCGCCAATATTTAAATACATTATTAGCATAGAATTAATCTTAAGGTAAATGTAAGGTCTCTCTTACTATTCTCACATTAACTCCAACAATCAAATTAAAGTGATTTAGGTATCTACAGAGAGCTTTTTCCTAACTCTAACCAATGGCACTGATTTTACAATGAAATTATTTTTTAATCAAAAGTTAAATACCCTTTGTAAAACTCCATCTTTTTTCATATTATCACACAATGAGGGTGTTCATTTCTGAATACAAGTGCTAGAAGTCTATACCAACCCTTAGACCATACTCATTGGACTATAATGGGCTTGTGCAATGTACCAGAATAATCAACAACACATATACCACACTTAGATGTATCACTTTTCACTCTCAACCCCTTAGCATCAACAAACGAGGGTGATCCAGCATTGCATATAATATTATATCCATGCTTAAATAGAAATTCTAATTCATTTTTCTGCTCTTACTACCATTGCCACAATCACTGTAGCGTCCACTCCCATGTCCTATATCTAAATTCATTCCTTTCTGTTGATCCCTCATGTCCTTCTTTGCTTGATTGTCTTCATCATGGCTTTTATCCCCATCTTGTTTTGGAGTTGACATGGTTAGCCATACTAAGAGGTACACTATTTTCCCCCATTCCTTTTGTCCTAACACTTCTTCATGTCTTGCAAATGTGGCTCTCACATCCAACATAATGGTTCTTAGCTCCTTCAATAAAGCATTGTTCCCCTGAGGGGTCTCAGTATGGGGTACTAGGTAAGGTTCATGCTGCACCCTTGCCTCTTCCACTAATTGGGTTTCTGGCTGAATCTCTTGCTGAGGATCCTCATTCCTGCAACTATGGATGATCTTAACCCTTCTTGTGGCATGTCTCCCCTTTTAAGGATGAAAGATATCATTTAAAAGGTTAGTATAGTGTTGGATTAGTTATAAGGGCAAGAAAGGGAAAAATGTGTAATGAATATACTTTGCAAACTGCTATATGTTCAATGCACAAACAGATAATGAGAAATGCACTCATAGGGTCCAACTCTTGAAATTCGATGACCTTATACCAGCTTGTAATATGCCAATACTTAAACACGCAATTAGCACAGAATTAACCTTAAGGTAAAGCTTCTATGATAATTCCAACTAATTAAATCAATAATAAAAGATATCATGAAAAGAAAAAGATTAACTTTGGCTATATAAAAACTCAAAAGGCTAAGTAAGGAAAATCCTGTAGAGATTGGATTCCATAAATTATTTAATTTCAAAAACGAGTTTAAAAGGTCATTTAACTATTACAAATCAGAGTAAAAAGTGTTTAGAAAGCATGAAAATTAATTAGAGCTGAAAACAAATCAAATTGAGGTAAAAATAATCATTTTCGCTTAACCGGGTAACTTTACTACGGTTAATGCAACCACTTTATATTCCTTCTTATATCTTCTAACTAATCCTGTGAGCTAACAACTCGTATAGGTTTAGTTTGTGCGATTAGATTAGCCCCGCTCTTTAATTATGAGAGGTCACTTAGTCAAAGGCTCTCGTACTCAAATTTCAAGGTGTCATAAATGTTTGAGCCACATCATTTAATTTAGGATCAGTGATATTGAGCATCTTGCCCGACTCATGCCACACTCATAGGTTGTTTGTCATATTAAGCACATATTGTAATGAAATGTGCCAACCACTGTGCACATACTCAATGGAGGCTATACTATGTGGATTTATCATTATAATATTTTACTATTCTATGTGAACTCTCACCTATCATGATTATGTAAGTTTAGTCAACATGTGTAAATATATACTCATGCATATTTCAATAACTCAATACATTCATAAGCAAAACTTGTAGGTTATCACATAGTCATAAAATATCTTTATCACTATTAGTCATGTTTATTGCATAACGTTAACTCAAAGTCAACATATTAACCATCTCGAGCTAGTGATAACTTAGCATAACTTGCAGTTGCAAACATACAATAATTAAAATTTCCAGCTACTTTAACTCTTGGTTTGCCTACCAGGAGTACCTATAAATATTAAATTTAACCTCCAATAAGCTCAATAGTATCAACAACGGTCAATCTACAATTAAATATGCTGATAGTCATTAATGACTAATTATCCTTAATTAATTGTAATCAAAGCCTAAACTCAAAAATCCTATTGTGATCATCTACCCACAACCAAATCTATTTTTAAGTTCTATTAGTTCACTTAGACTCTCATTAGTCTAATCAACACTACTAATAACTCATGACTTCTTTAGCTCAACTAATTAGCTCTAAGGTTTACTCCGAACCCCATTTTGAAAATCCTAAAACATCAATAGCATTATAACCCAAAGATTAGGCACTTAAATAAACACTCATTAATCCCATTGAAGTCAGAATTTTAGGCAAACTCACAACTCATTTTTGGATTCTCAAAGAACTATCCCAAAAACCATAATGAAAATGCATAAGAGAGGAAGAGAAGATGTTATAAGTACTTTCCCCAAAATTAAATGAATGGCTGAGAAGATGGAACTCATGACTTTGGTTGAGACTTTGAGGAAGGCTTTAATAAGATAAGGCATTACAATTTTCATGAAATGAACAAACTAAAAACAATAAAATTCTACCTTTTCCTAATAGTTTGACGTCCCCTACACTTGAACTTTTTTCAATCATTAAATAAACTTAATAAGGCAAAGTAAAAGTTAAGGTTAGAGAGATAGAACCTAATTAAGGAAGCTTATTTCACTATTACAACAATGAATCAGGGAGCAGTGGGAAAAGGGTTTTTGCATTACCTCTATTGCTGGAGCCGATGATGGGAGCCATATTGTAGTCATGTCAAGATGTTTGCTTGCTTTGTCTAGTGACATCTTATAATGGGGCTTAGTTACATGTTTTTGACGATGTAATAGTGTGGTAATTTTTTAATGATTTCTCCTTGACAAGGTGACGTAATATGGGAAGGGAAAAGGGGAAGAGAGGGATAGAGAAAGGAGAAGGGGGGAGAGAGAGAGGTTGGGGAAGCCAAAATTATTGGATTCAATATTAATCACAAGCTAAATATAAATGAAAGCCTTAAATCTATTTATAGAGTTCTAAAAATAAAAAAAAAATTGAAATAGTCAATCTAAATCTAAATCCTAAATCTAGTTTAATGATATGTTTGGATAATAATATCCCATTTTATTGAGATAGATAAATTTAAGATAACGATATAATAAAATAATAAGTTCTAATACTAATAGATAAAATCCTTATTCGAATGTACCTAGTAGATAATCTCAATATCTTAAATAAACCCTAATCATTTTAATTAGTCATCATCCCATGTTCAATCAAAAGATTATCTAGTCTCATTTTCAAGTTTCTTTTTTTCTTTTTTTTTAAAAAAAAAGCTACAATATTATGACGCCCCTCCTATTTCAGCTCATCTTCATACATTGCTTAGATTATCTATCAACATTTTTGGAACCATTGCTAGCTTGTTATAGCTTGAGGTAGAGTAAGAAATATGGTAAATCTAATTATTTTTCTGCAGGTGCAGGGTATGGTCCACAGTTATACAAAGTTTCTAAACATTTTCCCTTCGAGTTGATAGAGACTATGTCAGCTCAACATTCTGGATTTTATGATCAGGTTTGCCATTGTGATATTTTGAGGCAGGAAAAATGTATTTCTCATTCATGTGTTCTCTAATGTACAAACTAGTCCTATATAAATACATCAAGAGAGATAAAACATAATAAATACTAATAAAGCTTAATGAATAATGCTAATAAATGCTAATTATTCACAATAATCACTGCTATAAATTGTTTTTTAATAAGCATACGCACCAGAATAGAAATAACACCAGATAGAAGAAATCCATGGGACTTATATTTGGACCTGATCCACTAGGGATGGACAATCCAGCACAAGGTTATTTGATTGCAACTTGGGAAACAAGTATTGGGTGCATTATTTTGACATCTTAATATATTCAAAAAAGCTTTCACATGAGTGGATAACTTCCCTTTGACATTTATTAACTGCTGTACATATATATATATGAAGAGTTGGTTTTTAAACTAGGCAATGGTACACTATACCTCTTGAGTTGTAATTTTTTATGTTGTTTCTTTATAGCCATTACTCTCCCACTTGCTCTTTTGTTATCTAATCCAACTTTGCAAATGTAGGTGATTGAATATGATTTCCACTATCCAAGTGACGGCTTCCATATTCAGTGGGACAAAGGTTATTTGATAACGTCAGTAGCAGCAACAAAAGATGAAATTGCTTTGGTATTTAGCATGCCCAAGGAGACTCGTTATGGGGAGGTTACTTCACAGGAATCTTTGCAAACGTCTGAGTTTCCCCGCAAACATATCAAGGTACAGTACATTGATAAATGGCATATTTTTCTTAACACCAAAATTTGAATCCTTTTTCATTCGTCTTTCAGGAAAATTTGGAAAGAAATATGTACATTGCATGTTTGAGTTATGGTCGCACAGTTCGCTAGTTTCCTTCGAATGTCAAAGCATTATTTCCCCAAGGTAAATTATATCAACCTTTTTGTCTTGAGCAATCATGTATAAAATATATACACAGTTTGCGGTATAAAGTAGTTCAATATCTTTCAATTTTAGGGGATAAGATGATATAGAGAACTACCATAGAGGTTGGGGATGCACCAAAGCTTATATAAACAGAGCTCAAGGGGGCCTTCATTCCTCACCGAATCATAACTCTCAACAATGCTAGCAAGTCAACTCTGGAAGAAGTTCTATCGAGCCTAGTATCTATTTTATGAAGCTTAATTTTTCATTCACATGGCATGTTTGTTTGTTTGTTTGTTTGTTTTTTATTTGTATGAAAACATATAAAAAAATTGTTTAATTTCATATAAAAAATTTAAAATATAATCCAATATGAAGCACCTAAACAATAATTAATCTGAAAATTTAGAATTAGTAAAGTCTCTAGCATTTCATTATGATGTTTCATGTGTTTTTGCTTTCAGTTTCTCAACTTTCTAAATTTGTGTAGCTGTTGGGTTGACTTCTGTTGTGATGTTTGGTTTAGTTAGACATCATGTATTTCTTTTTTTATTCTTAGAACGAATCCCATAAGTGTAATGGTTGGGTTACCTTCAGTTGTGATGTCTGATTTATTCTGACATGCTGTATTCTCATAATGAATCTAATAAAATCTTGATTTTTCGTACCCATGCATGACCATGATTTGAGTGGTAGGGACCAGGTGATTTAAGACACACTTGCACAGATCTGAACAGAGAGAGAGAGAGGAGGGAGAAATGAGAATGAAGAACAAAACAGTAGGGGGAACAAGAGAGGGAGAGCCAAAACGCTGAGAGACGAGGAAGGCTATTAGGAAACTCAATTAGATATTTCAGTCATAAAATGTGTTTCCTTATAAGTGCAACCAAGTGTATTTAACAAAATTATAATGCCTAATAGGGGAACCTCAATCATCCATATAAAGCTAATGTTTTTAGAAATTTCTAATTATTTTCGTTCTTAGGTATAAGTCCATTTTTGTTATAAGAAACTTCTAGTTATTGTCATTTTCAAGTACAAGTCCATTTTTTATTCATATATATTTTTATTTTTCTAATCTTATTTATAGAATAAAGAGAGTATTTGTTTTGGTAAGAACACAATAATATAATTATATTTATTATTTTCTTCCTATCAAATGTTGGGAAGTCATTAAATAGTGGAGTTCTTTATTTTAGAGTATATAAATTTAATAGGGGTATGGTTAAAAATTTGTGAAATTTTTAAATAGAGTTAATCAAATTTAAAATTTTTCTTAATTCTGGTAAAAATGTTGGAAGTAATTTATAAATAAAAATAAATGGAGTATTAGTCTAACATTTTTTAAATTTATTTGTTAAAGAGATAGTTTATGTGTACAAAATTGTTTGTCTTTTCTGTTTTTATCTTCAATCAAATGGTATTATTAGAAAGTGCATTTTTATTAAACAAAATAAATAATTTTGATAATTTATTTATAAGAAGTATCCTAGAAAGGTTTTTTAATTACACCTACAATTTTATAATGAAACTTCACATTAGGGATGGGTAAATCAAGTGTTTTTCCAAGGTGCCTCAGGGATTGGCGAAGGAGTGTACCATCAAGTATTTTGTCTTTTGGCTTTAGAAGTTTGACAAGTTTAACATTGAGACATTATGTGAGTCATATCATGCTTGAGCGGAGACTAATAGAACCTATCTTTGACTAGTGCCATAGTTTTATTGATCCTAAAATGACCAACTAAACCTCTAGCATGTAATTCCTAACCAAGAAAATCTTGCATGGAAGTACGTGGGATGTACTGTTTGCTTTCACGAAAGATATGTTTGTCTTGAAGGATGAAATCGGCATTATCATGATGGTTACCACTGTATATTATTCCAAAAATCTGGATATAAAGCATATTCTTCCTTTTGAGTTTTCAAACCAACAAACCTTATTGATCGTAGTGTGTAACAACTTGATTCGTCGGCTCACAGTGTTAGCTGCTTTGTTCTCTATTCCTGAACGATGCTTGACCACAAAAGTAAATCCTTAAATATATTCAACCTACTTAACATGTTTAGCATTGAAGTGCTATCGAGAGTTGATAAACCTAAGTGCTTGATCATTGGAGTGAAGAAAAAATTGATGGGGAAAGAGATAGTATTTCTAATGTTCAAGAGATCTCACAATTGCATAAAACTCCTTGCTAGAGACTAGTATGTCATTAAAGTATACCTTGAGAAATTTTCCCAAGTATGCACAAAGCAGGTAAGTCATTACTCTGGTGAACGTACTTGGGGCATTTGACAATCTGAACATCATGACAAGCCATTCAAACAATCATTATTGCATTTTAAAGGTAGTCTTCCACTCATCTATAGGTTGAATCCTGATATAATGATTCGAAGATCAATCTAGAACTCATGTTATGTTGGATATTTTTAGATATGATAATATATCCAAGAGGATGTGAATTTTTAGTTTTGCAAAATATTTTCCTAGTAAAATAGGGTGCAAAGCCCTAGTCATGTTAAACTTTTCAAAAAAAAAAAACTAAAGTGTAGTAGTGAGAATGCCTTAGGTCATTCTACTCTTAAGGAACAAGCAATTTGCAATCAAATTAAGCAAATGGTCATGGCAAGTTAAAAGACCAGACTTGAATTTGAGAGTTTAAGAAAGAAATTAAATGTTTATGTTTGATTTTAATATGAACAAATTGTGTAGGAATCAACCAATTATTAAAGTAGTTTTTTAGGATTAGCATTGCCACATCTATCCTTGTTCTTCCTCATCCTGATTACTTTAAGGTGTTAAACATGATCAAGGCAAGAGTTAGGATTGGTTTTATAGTTTATAGTTTTTGGGTTTTACGTTTTGGGGTTGAGGGGTTTGGGGTCCTAGGTTTAGAGTTTAGGGTTTAGACTTTAAGGTTTAGAAGTTGGGGCTGGGGGCTTGGGTTTAGGTTTTTAAAGTTTAGGGTTTTAGAGTTTTTGAGTTTGGGAATTGGGCTTTAGGGTTTCAAGTTTTTAGGGTTTGGGGGTTTTAGGTTTGGGGTTTTTAGGTTTAGTGGTAGTTAGGGTTTAGGGTTTTAGTGTTTTGGGGTTTAGGGTTTTAAGGATTTAAGGCTTATGGGTTTGGTGCTTTAGTGGTTTTTGCCCTTTTGGAGTTTTGGGCTTTAGGGTTTTGGGGTTTTAAGGTTTAGGTTTGGGTTTTAGGGGGTTAGGGTCTAGGGTTTTTGAATCTGGGGTCTAGGGTTTTGGGGTTCTTAGGCTGGGGGTTGGGGGTCAGGGCTCAGGGGTAGAGGGTTTAACATTTAAGGGTTAGGGTTTGGGGTTTTAAGTTTTGAGTTTAGTGTTAAGGTTTAGGGGTTGGGGTTTTGGGGGTTTGAGGAGTATTGGTTTGGTGTTGGGGGTTTTAATTTGGGGTTTAGGGTTTGAGGTTAGGGCATTGGGGTTACGGGTGTAGGTTTAGGGGGTTTGGGGTTAGGGCTTAAGGTTTAGGATTTTTAAGGCTTAGGTGGTTTGGGGGTTGGGGGTTAGGGTTTAAGGTTAAGGCTTGGGGGTTCGGGGTTCGGGGTTTTAGGGGGGGTGAGGGGTTAGGAGTTTGGGGTTGGGGGTTTTGTGTGGGTTTAGGGTTGGGGGTTAGGGGTTTGGGGCTTTAGAGGTTTTGGGTGTTTTGGAGTTTTGGGCTTTAGGGTTTTGGGGTTTGGGTTTTAAGGGGTAAGGGTTTTAGGGTTTAGGGTCTAGGGTTTTTTTGGGCTGGGGGTTTAGGGGTCATGGCTCAAGGGTCGAGGGCTTAAGATTTAAGGGTTAGGGTTTTAGGGTTTTTTTGGGCTGGGGGTTTAGAGGTCGTGGCTCAAGGGTCGAGGGTTAAGATTTAAGGGTTAGGGTTTTAGGGTTGGGGTTTTTGAGTTTAGTATTAAGGTTTAGGGGTTGGGGTTTTAGGAGGTATTGGGTTTGGTGTTGGGAGTTGGGGGTTTGGTGTCACACCTCAATATTAAAGGTATGATTGACACGAAATATGAAATGATCTCATATTCTATAAGCCTTGATCAACTAAGGTTTAAGCTAAAATATTCATATTTAAGTTATATATAATAATGACTTTAGTAAAGTTTTAAACATTTTGTAGAAATTTCAGTAGAATCCTCGCTGTAAGTTGGACCCCCTAAAATTTCTACAATACAAAACTCTATCAACCAATCTAGGAAATTGCATACCAACAAAATAAAACTAGGACCTAATTACAGTGTATGTGGAGCACTAAGTTACAATCATATAATAATACATATTATCACTAAAAGAGATAATTATAGTGTGCTTCTTCCTTCCAAGAAGAAATAATAGGACCTCTCAAAGATTTGTAGGAGGTGCAGGGTTGGCTACAATATAGACCAAAAATTTCTAGTGAGTAGCATTCCAATCAAAATTTAAATTTTAAAAAATTATGAAGAGAGTAATTAATGCTTTTAGTTTAAAATGATTAAATGGAAAAATGAAGCATATATTTAAACCAAAAATAAAGAACAAGTTTTTTTTTCAACAATATAATCATGAAATTAAATAATGCTAGCAGAACAATGTAAATTTATCAAACTTTGTACTGCTCATAGAACATAAAAATTTCAGCAATGGTATAATTAGGTAGAATGCTTTTAGAGAAACGATATAAAAATGGTAAATTTTACTTAAAATTTGGGAGGGCTATATCATAACGAATAACAAGCGTGTACACACAGTCCATGAACGTAAATAACCAACCAAGCGTGGACACACAGTTTACGAAAATAAGTAACCAATCAAGCACAGGTACAAGGCCTACAAAAACAAGCGTAAGTACAATGCTCACGAATTATCTTTCCTTTGATCCACGTGCGTTGGCCTTTGCACGAGGCTAGCACCTTCCAAAAACACCCTGCTAGCTAGGTGTATTATGGCACGCCAAGGGCTAACGGAATTGCTGTTAGCAACCAGCGTTTTGAACTCAGTCCCTCATTAAAATCAAGTATGTATGGAGAAAGAAAGTTAGTTTCAAAATTCTCGATTTCAAATATTAATTAACTATCTTTTTTCATTACCCAAAATTATCATCATTTTCTCCATACACAAATCATTATAATAAAATTTTATGTCAATAAAAAATTAAATAATTAAGCTATTTATGAGAAATAATGCTATCAATGTGGAAATAGGATTAACAAGAATATGCAAACAATTTATAAAGCCATAATAATAATATTTAAATAAAATTTTTTATAAACACTTTACTAAAAAGAAATATTCGGAACGCCATCCACTCACCTAAAAGTTTTTGAGAATTTTAAAGTTTGACTTCCATGAAATCCTTACTTACTTCAGTGATGCTTCAAATAATTTAACACATAATTCAATAATCCTCATGTTATTATGAATTTTTTTTTATAAGAAACAAGCAAAATATTCAAAATCTTCGATAATCCTTTAAATCTCTCTTTAAGCCCTTGAACTCTCATTGAATGCTCCAATAACTTATATCAATTAGTTCAACAATACAAAGCAACATTCAATTTTAACCATTAATATAATTTATTTTAGACTTGATCAGACTCTTAGTTATCATAAAAGTTACACGATTTCAATAAGTATTTCAAGTTTACAACTTGCATGTAAATAGATATACTCCCTCAAGAAATATTTCTAATTCCTCTAGGCTTTAATATAAAAATTTAACAGTTTTATTTTCACTAACAAATCTTTCAAGTATATTTACAAGCTCCATGACAACCTTCACTATTAATTAACTCATAAGGCAAACATTCAAGCAAATTCAACAATTTTCAATGTCTAATTTCTTCATTAATTTTTCTTTTAACTCAGCATTTCTAAAATAGCATTCAATCTTGTCCAAAGTAGCACCTAAATTTAATTTGCATTAAGCCTCTAACAATTAAATCAACTTCCAACCTTAACTCTATCATCCATATTCAACTTAACATCAAAATAAAACACATACAGAACTAACTAAAATGCACCTCAATTCCCTAAAAATCGTGACAGCTGCAATATGGGAGAAGACTATGGCACACCGCCAAATGAAGAAAAATAACAATTAATTAACTTAAAATTCCATGGCAGCCATACTCTTAATAATGCCAGATTTGCTTTGATGATAATCAAAGGAGGGAAAAGATGGCTGGTCTAAATTTTACACAGTTGAAACTTCAAGCATACACGGCCAATAACAATGACAGAGGAGCAGAAACAAGCCTATCAAATGCACAAGACTCAATAGATAAGGGAAAAGGAGAATGAAGACTAAACAAACACCCACACAAACCTAGAAAGGGCAGAAAATAACGGCAGAAGAAGCAGCTACTTCCACACCTCTGGCAGCCAAACACAATGGCGAGGATTGCTCCATTCGAGGGCAAAAGAGAAATCATCAACAAGGACCAGAGAGAGAGCTCGATGTTGAAGAAGGTGAGGAGGAGCTTCAACGTGCGACGATGAAGTAGGAAAGAACATCGTCGACGAAGCAGCAAGATCAGATCGAAATAGGGGCAGCGACAGAGAAAGGATTCTAGTGACAGCAATACTCCCAACGGCAAAACATGACAGCAAGGAATGGATGATGCCCAATTGAATGCAACCAAAGAAAATCAATGGCAACCTTTAGAGATTAACATGTTTATTGGATCAAACAATAAGGACTTGATTAAAATAACATAAATTATAAAAATCTAATTGAAAATTAAAGAAAGAAAAAAGGAAAAAAAAAAGATTTCTTACGAATAAGAGACGTACGTTGTAACTTGTAATGAAGGTGTTAAAATAAATTTAGATTTTTTAAGCCTTTTTATAAACATAAGTGTGCTAAATGGATCATTAGTTGTATAACGTTTATATTATTTAACTTCTGCGTTATAATTAAGACCAGATCAACTATTAAAGAAAAATACAAGGAAAAAACGTGTACTACTCTTGCAGTCAATCACTCCAATTGATTTTTCATCGGTTGTGACGAGTACCGATGAAAAAATCAACTCAAATCCTGAATATATTCAATTGATCTCCCTTAATTCCTCTCATTAGTTACCAATTAATTATAAATTATATAAACAAATAAAGAAGGAATGAGAGAGAAAAGCAGAAGAACTGAGAACATAAATAGTAAGTATTTTATATGTAATAGCCAGGTATATTTTATGATAAGTATAAGAGGAAAAGCATAATATTTAAGCATATGGTATATTATCAACAAATTTATAATTTTTGGCCAAAAAAAATTAATAATAATATAAACACAAATCATGTTGGATGATTTTGTTTTGTTTGAGAACACAATGATTTTTGAGTATAAGCTTGGAAAAGAAGAATTGTAAAGATAATGATTAAAATAACTCATAAGCTTTACTGCTTGATTGATGCTTTGCATCGGATAGTAATAAGGCAAAAAATACTACATTTGTTCTCTTACATTTTTGCATTTACATGTTCTGGTGTTACCAAATACATGAACAATTTACATTATGATCCAATCATAGAATGAAGATGAAATTGTAAACTAATGTCTCAAATGGATCGATCGTGAGTTCAATTCTTAGTACATTTAACTTTTTCTTAGCATAGTAATTTAGTATCTTTGACTAGAATGATTCATCATTAAAAGAAAAATATGTCAGGGATTAATTGATATTTTGACTTGTTTTTGTGTTGTATAAACAGATATGGGTGATAGGAATGCATTTTGGGTTAAAGCAAGTGTGTGTAGTGGAATAAATTGTACTAACCATGGTTAATTAACGTCTAATTCAAAAGCGTTATATAGATATTAACCTAAAGAAGTCATCAACATGTATTTTTACTAACTATTTAAAACAAAGAGATCCCAAGTCTTGTTTAATTAACATATATAAATTGAAATTTAAAATACTTAAATTCAAAACACTTATCTAGACAAAGTTTTTTTGATTTTTTTAAAAGAAAAAACTATTTAAAAATAGAAAGCAAACTCACCTTGAAAGTCTTGTACCATATTTTAAAATATATTAACAATTAGCGAGGATTTTAAAAAGTCACTACTAATTATCAACTTTCAGCGGTCACTTTTGGAGGTTGTTGATCGAGATCTCTTAATTAATAATATTTTTAAAAGCTTATTAAATGATAGAGCACAATGTAATCCATATAGCCGACCCCTTCTAGTAGGATAAGGCATATTGTTGTTGTTGTAGCATCTAATTTGAGTTGAACTAGACTGCTTTGATGTGTCCACAATGGAGTATTGGTTTGATTTGGGTGCATTTTAAGTGTTATTCATAAACTATTACCAAAACATGTGCATTCATGATTTGTTATTGATTATTGATGTTGGCAATTTTCTATTGTGAGTGCCCACACCCCAAACCGCCCCCTCCAACAAAAAAATAAAAAAATAAAAAAGTTCAGTTGTATTTGAGAATTTAACAGCTGTGCTTATGAATCTGTCATATAATAAACAGCCTGTGACTATCGATAACATGGATTATAGCCTTGAGGTGAAGAGGAGCTTTTCATTTCTAAGTCGTTGATGAAAGAAAAATAAGTTTTTTTATTTAGAAGAAGAGCTTGTTGGTCCAATTTGAGGCCGTACACCCCACATAAAATCACTCTTAAATTCAATGTGTTTGAATTGGCCATGCTGCCATGCATCCAATTATTTGGGCCATCCTATGCCTCCATCTTCAATCGGGCCAATGTTTACATATCTCAAGAGAGAAGTCTTGTTTGACGAAGCCCACTTCTTAACCTAATCTTAGTCCTTCGTTTATCTCACTCCTCACCAACGGCCGCGTCTTGTTCTTCTTCCTCCTCCGGCACATCTCAATCTTCTTCCTCTGACCAGTGCTCCCTGTCGACTGTCGCGATTCTCACGTGGGTGCTTGCTCGCCATTCTCTGACTCACGGTCACAAATTCACGGTGCTCGCTGATCTCGGTGACCCAATCTTTGCTTCAGCCTCCAGGTACCTCTAATTCTCTGATTCAAATCATGCAACCGTCCACAAGCACTAATGAAAAGATACAGATCCTAATTCCCATACAATATTTCTCCTGCTTCAAGACATTATGCAGATAAATTCTCTTGCCTCTTGGCAGACATTCGTTTCAAAAGCTCGTAGCAAATTCTGCGTTTTGGCCCTTTTTTTTTTAATTTTTCCCGAAATCAGAAGCAGTATATGCTCCGTCCAGTCCATCCTCTCCCCCTTCATTCTGAAAAATCTATCGCGTGAGCATTGCTCTGTCTCTCCGACCCACGGTCGCCGTCGCATCATCAGTCCAACGCCTCTTCAGTCACGGTTTTAGCGTCTTTCCGGCCTTACCTCTGTATTCCGTTGCTTCTTCTCCGGCCTCCTCATATCAGAAATTGGTTCTGTCGCTCTTTCTTTCAGTTCTTCTCCAGCGCTATCTTCTCCGGCCTCCGGCGCTTCTTCTCTGGTCAGTTCTTCTGTTCTGAAATTGTCCACCTCCGTTCACATCTTCCATTCCGTCGCTGCTTTCAGGCATAGTCGTGCTTGTTTTTTTTTTAATATTAATAAAGGAAAGTAGGAGCTGGGAAAATTACTTCTGAAAAACACTGTCAAGAAAATATTGCAATTTGGCTTCCTATATTCTCACGATTACACAAGTTAATCCCACCACAGAAATAATTTTTTTTTTTCACTTGGATGGATTAATGAAGAACATGAGAATCATTATCTTGTATCATTTGATATTTTGCTTAATTACTTAACTATTTATTGTATTGAAAATATGCGTTTCTAAATATTTAATATTTAATTATGTTTCGTACCGAATCGAATTGGATACACATGGGTGCTTCATAGGTGCCAAGGATTTTTCTGAAGGCATCAAAACCATTCTTGTAATTGATTGTTGACATGTTGATGTGTGATGATGTGGTACCAGCTCCTTGCTTCTCTCTTGTATTTCGATTTTTATACTGGATAAGTTGTTGCAGTTTTAGAAAAGATAAAGTATTTGGGAATTGATTCCCTAGAAATCTTTTGAGAAGGGAGATCACTGATGACTGGCCAACATCCTATTATTACCTTGAAATACCCTTGGTTGTGAATTGTGTGATTCAGGAAAATAATTAAGTCGGAAACCCTCTGGGATATAGGGAAAAAAATAATGTTTGATATTTTGTGTTAAAGGTTGGATTGATTGAACAGAGAGGGTGAAAATGCCATATCTTAGAAGAACGCGCAGTTGGCCTCTACTATCACGTGAAAAGTTGACTTCTGAATCTCAACAATTACAATCTTATCATGTCACTCAGGTATATATTTTCAATTTGTGTCTTCAAAAGCATTTTTTGGATGAGTTGTTATAACATGTAGAACAAGTATATTTACTGTGATGTATGCTTTGATGAGTTGCTGTGTCTTTGATGCCATGGAAGCTAGGGGAACTAATGTTGAAGATGTCTCTTATAATACTTGAACTATAATTCCATCCTACTACTATTAATTAGTCTAATTCTACATTAAAATCCTTAATTTAGTCACGGTCTAAAATCAGGGCAGCAGCATTGTCAAGTGTTTCTCAACCAAACTTTCAAACCAATTATTCAATTGAGTAAAGAACTCTTACCTCTTGGTTATTATGTCATAGTTTTCTTGATTCAACCCTTTTGAGCTAGACCTTGCAATCAAAATCTTTACTAATGGAAAATATAAAACTGTGGATATGTGGCACTTGAAAAGATGAGCACTTTTCTAGAAGGGACTATTACATTTAAAAGAGGCTTAAGGGAAGAAATTGATGGTAAAATCCAAGTGCTTATGCATGTAATGCCCTCCTTCAGTCTCAGGCTACCAAAATACCCAGAATGATATGAATATCAAGCTAAATGGGGTTCGAACTTGCTGAGTGACAGTCAGTTTAAACCTTTTCATTCATTTTCATTTTAGATGGATTCAAATTGTGACTACTTACTGCTGTAATGTTGTCATTGCAACACTACAGGTATTAGTGAAACATTTCAAGAAGCCAAGGAAGCTGTGGCGTCGTTCATCTCCATCGATATTTAGTAAATGTCCGATGACCTTGGGCACTATAAAACAATTAAATGAAATTAGCTCAGAATTGGATGAAACTGAACTTGGAATCGCTATGGCTATGTTGATGAATGATAAAGATAAACAATTAATTTTCTGTTATGTTGTAAGTGCAAGAGTAGATTGGATAAAGTCACTAGTTAAGGAGGGGATGGAGGAGGGGATTCAAAGGCTTATTGACAGCTCATTGCTCAATCCTAATGAAGATTGATGTGCATCCCATATAACCATGAGATGGAATCCTAAAAGACTATGGAGTTAGGACATCTAAATTATAATATTTATAACATAATTTTAGTTATTATTTGTTGTACTATAATTTGGATAATTTACTTTATTGACAAGTGAGACATCCTTGCAAAATTATTCATGTTAAATCCATGATGTAATAATTATTATAAGATTGTATGTGTGTCATGTATAATGATGAAATGTTTATGATGATGATGAAATATTTATGTTAGATTACTTGACAAATGTAATTTTCCCTGCTATGTTATTTATTTGGCTTATGGCTTATGAAAATGTATCATGTTTCAAGAACTTGAGTCAAAGCTTGTGCTAAGTAAAGAAAGGAGAAGACAAGAAAAATAAAGATTGAAATGTCATTCAGGCTCAAATGACTTGACTGAGAAAACATTTAGAGTTTTGCAATCTTACATCAGTATGCCATCTTTTGAAAGTTGAAAAAGGTTTTAATTTATCAATGATAGAAAGGTATGGTTTTTAAGTGCAGTTAAGCAAAAAGTTTTAAAGATGATCTTATAGCAAGCTCCTAATACTTAATAATGGCATATTTAGGGTTTTGATAAATAGTTAAAACTATTAGTTTAATTGAGTTAGTAAAGGATGAAGTATTTTTAAAAGTCACAAAATTTTACATGAAATGGCTAGCAAAAAGCCAAAATTATTTCATGTGATCAAAACTTATGTGGAACTAAAATTATATCACGTGCGAAATTGCAAGTGTTAATATATAAACTTATCTAATGCATGGATTTTATAAAACTCATGGCACAATCTTTAATCATTGTTTTTTATTTTTAGTAACGAATTCATTTTGTTGAGATACTTAGGCACAATGATGCTATAACTATGGAATCCAAAACTATTTGAGATTATGTCTTTATATACTAATGGTCCACGAAGTAAGCTTGTAACTGGCGAGATTTTGACATACTTATCCATCTCAAGCTTTCCACTGAGACTAGAGCTAGCCCTTAGATTGTTTATTGGGCTTTACTCTTCAATTACTTAGCCCATATGACTTTATGGCCTACTCAAATGTTTTGGTAGGCGGTATTTCATATTTAGCACAAATACTTTCAAAAAAAAAATCACAACCATGCCGATATATGTATAGCTCTAAAATAATAATGATTTAAAATATAATAAATAAATTAGTCAATGTAATTTATATTTATTTTTTAAAAATTTATTTAATTTAAACACAACATTTCTACATTATTTGTTTAACTATTTTCATAATTATTTAAAGTTTCTTAAATTGAAAGGGAGAGAATATAAAATTAGATTATAAAAGAAAATTAATAAATTTATTTTTTAAAATAATTAAAATAAAAATTAAAGTATCTTATAATATTTAACAAAATATTCTTAACTATGTTAGAAATTAGATTAAAGTATAGGTTTTGAAAATAAAGGAGAGGTCTCTATAATTTTAACAAAATAGAGGGGTGGTCATTGTAATTTACTCAATTAATTAATATTTATCGTGAATAAAAGTTTTTAAATTAAAAACAAGAACAATAACATGGATAGCAACCATGCGCCTTCTCCTTTCTGCAAAAATTCATCCTTTTTTTTTTGCGCTGAGTGTTTTGTTTCTTTTACTTTATAAGTTATACTATTTGTTTCTTTTCTTCTTTATAGGTTGTGGGGGGTATTGTTATGTGCCTCACTATCAATATCATTATCATTTTTTATATTTAAACTAAATCAAAGTTAATATTTTTAATAATATTTAAATTTAAATTTAAATTAAGAAAGTCGGCACTGTTAATATCATTAACATAACTAGATTACTTGAGGTTTTGAATTAATCTACGACCGTCTATATTGGCCATTTTATTTATTTTGGCCAGAAATCTTATTTTCACATTTAAATTTCTCACTAATTAAAATATGTTTTTCAAATGACATGTGTATTTGTCAAGTTACCATGACAACAATTTAAGCCTACCTTTTTCTTTATTTTTTTTTTGGGTCGAAGATCATTTTAGGCTTACCGATGACATGGAAAAGAGATAAAAAGTAAAGCAAGCGGCTATTGAGAGAAAGGGACCCATACCATTAAGATTGTGATTGATAAAATGTGACGTGTAGGGTACAGGGAGAAATATTTGAAAAAGTTGAAATTGATGATGATAGTGTGCAACCCCAACTCTCACTTGTCCTCTCTCTTTATTCAAATTCAAAGTTCTCCCTTCTCTCTCTAGCCAAGAAATAATTAAAAAAAATAAAATTTATGTTTCATACAAAGAAAAAATAATATTTAATAAAAAAGTTAAAACAAATGTTAATGTCATATTATTATTAATAAAAAAGGAATTTAAATATTTGGATAAAGCTCATTTAGACTTGAGTTTATTTAGGTGACTTGATTAAATTTAAAGTAACAAAATGGGACAATATTAACATATGAAATCTTAAATTTTGGATGGCTGAGAGAGGTTATCTGGTTAAATATATTATTAGCTGGATTTGAATTAGGTAACTGTAATTAATATAGGCATTGAATGCCGATACCATCAAAATAGTTGAAATTCATGTTAATGGTTTAGATAAATTTACTTATTTATTTATTTTAAGTAAAGTATAAATTTAAAATTATTAATCTAAATTTTAATAATTTTGAGTGCAGATACTAAATATAATTATTGAATTTAATTTCATTATTGGCATGTAAAAAATCTTGAGAATCCCGAGCAAAGCAGTAGTCTCTGATCCCTGTATTAATTATTAATATAATTACCTTTTTCACATGCAATGCCTATTGTTTTTCTATTTTTCTGTGATTGAGACAATATTTCTATGCCATCTTCCTCTTACTTCTTGCATACACTAGTGTGGCTGTGAATTTTATTTTTTTTTAAATCAGCAAATGACTTTTGATATTATATGAAAGAAATGGAATGTGTACTATATACAGACATGGTTTGCATTTTATATTTTTTTAATATTATATTTTAAGGAAAAATATTTATAGTAGACAAAGCGTGCTCCCTACTCTTGTGAAAGTGTTAAGCCTATAGTCATATCACATCAAGCCTACTTTGTGTATGTGCAAGCTTTAATACAAGCCTTTCAATGATTTTTTTTCTTTTACCAACTTTATTAATAAATTCAAATGAGCTGTATTTTTTTAGCCTAAAAAATAGCTGTTTTTTTTGACAAAAAAAATAGCCGTGTTTAAATATATTAAAGTAATGAGTTTTTCAATATAAATTGGGGCTTAAAAGTTGTGCCTATGCCACTCAATAATTATTAAAAAAATTAAAATTAATAACCTTGAGATTGATCCCATGAAATTGTATAGGAAATTTCAGTTGGAATTTAGAATAACCTCTCTTTTATTAAGATTTGTAATAGAAGGTTATTTTTTCTATATTTATTTTATTTTATAACACACTTTTAATTATTTTATAAGAATTAAAAAATAGTTAAAAGTGATTTGTATTAGTATGATAATAAAAAGTCATCACTATTTTTTAAAGTTATCCCCCAATTAAAGCCAACAAATTTTAATTACCTTTACTTTCGGTTTTATTAATCTTTCTCAAGGTTAAACTTTATAAAAAAAAATGAAAAGAATCAACAATTTTGTTTGATTGTATTGACAAAGTGAGCATTTCACTCTATAGGATGATCTTGTCTTATGATACCCCTTCTTATTGACCACTGACCTTTTTAAATAAATATTTATTTGTTTTTTTTTAACTCTTCCCTACTTGCCTTTTTAATAATAGAATATGAGCACCTTTGAGGAAGTGAAGTGCTCACGTGGAGAGAGAAGCAAGCAAAATATTACAAGACTCTATTTATTTAATAACTTATTTCATTTAAAATGTATTCTGCTTAGGATGAATATGTTAATTTTCAATAATTATACATTACTTTTGATAATATGAGAAAAATTTTTTAAAAAATAAAAAATAATTTTATTATTAAGTTATGCCTCAGAGTAGAAAATTTATCTCCAATAAATATTATTAAATCTATCACTTAATGCTCCAATAAATTAAAATATAAGAAACAACTTTTTATTTGTTATGTGTCATTTTCATACATAATAAAAAACATAAACATTTTTAAAATTTCTTATCCATTAAAAATTAAAATAAAACTAACTTTAATTTGTTTTAGAATATTTTGACTCATTCATCCCCTAAAAAATAAAAATTGTATTATAATAAACTGTATAAATAATAATTATTGCTGAAATTAAAAAATAAATGTATTCTAACATTTACGTTGATCTCTCCCTTTGTTTAATATTTAATATTTAAAAAAAGGAAAGATTAGACAAAAATGCTTGAATTATAACTGGAGGAAGGAGATAAGATAATTTACGTTTGCAAATCACAGCATTAGAGAATGGTGGAAGTGCGTGATGTGAATAGAAGAAGTTGAGAGGGACAAGGGAAGAAAACTGTATGATTAAAGCTATGATTGATAAGATGTAATTCAGAGAGTGTTGAAATATTCAATATAGAGAAAATAAAAAAAATTACATGTAATATTTTCTTTTTCAATTTTTTAAAACACGTCTGCAATGTTTTACCATAGCTAAAAAAGTTTTCCTACGCCGATTAGAATTTGTAGGATCAAATCTAATATTATACAAGATTCTCCTACAATAATCAAAATGCTCATAACCAAGAATGGCTTGAGCATGATGAAATTCTGGATCCGTTATTTCATTATTTCTAAACATGTCCATTAAAAAATTAACAAATTGTTGTGGAGTTATATTTGGATAAGATGGTTGTGGTTGTGGCTGTTACTGTGGCTCTGGCTCTGGCTTTGGCTGTGGAACTATCGAAATTTCTTCATCAAGAGAAAATATTGTATTTAAGGCTCGTAGATATCTAGGATCTACTTCATCACCAACTTCTTGAGCATTAGCTCACTTAAGAGTAGTTGGCTATATAAAATTAAAAAATAATTAATAATAATAAATATTAAAATATTAAATATTAAATTTACTAAAAAATAAATAAAATACTTACATCACTTTTATGAGTTTTTAAAAATAAAATTCTGTGCTCCACTCTTGTACTAGTGTACATGTGAGTTCGAAATTAGTGATTCAAAGCTGCTGCCCAATTGTCCTTTATTTATGGTGGAAGCTCAAACATATCTGTGTCCATATTTTGAGTTTTGTAGGCAACCATCAGTCGAATTAGGAATTTTGTTTGTCTTACATTCCAACGAACACGTGTAGA